AAAGGGATAGGTTTGAAAAAAATGGCATGAAAATGAAGTAAATTATAAGTTATATCTATGTTTCCATTTGGGAATCTCTAAAATCAACAATTATTTTTACAAATCATATATTTGCAGAAATTATAAAAATAATTAAAAGTAAGCTCCAGAGATAAACACATGTACATTCGCCGACTAAATATTTATGTAAGCATTGAGAATTGTTTATTTATTTATTTGTAAAAAATATCTATTTTTGATATATTGATTTTAAAAATATCTTGACCATAATTAGCAGTAAATATAATTAACATCATAGAAATTTTTTTTAATCATCTAAGACTTTAGAACGATTTATCACAAAAAATCACGCTATTTGACGAGAACACAATATTGTACGACTTACTATATTTTTTCATTTCCAAGCGATAATTAGTTCGTTCTGCTTTTAATTATGTAAATCGTGCTTCATTTATTTTATTTGGATTGAAAAAAAAACAAAACAAGCGAAATGCTTGCATAACAAATATCATTCCGTTAAAAACTTACAAAATGAAATTTACACGTTTCTTAACGCACGATCACGCACGATTAAAACCGCAAACGATTGAGTCTGATACACGCACGATCTCGCACGTTACACGAACGATCACGCACGTTACACGAACGATTCTGCACGATTGGTTTGTCAACAATAACGTTGTAGCCACTGTACTATAATTTGCACATGTATTTTTCGAAGCAATTACTTGCCAAGTAGGGCCCAACACTTGTTTGTACTTTAAAAACTTCAATGACGTCACCCATTGTTATTAGTCTACGTATATTTTTACCGATTCAACCATCACTAGTTGGATATTCAAAGGTCCAACTGGCCATCAGTTGGCTATTCAAATATCCAACTGTCTATCGTTTGGATATTTAAATATCCAACTGTGCATACAAACATAATTAAGAAATGAACAGAAGAGATAAAAGAGTTTAAAAAAGTATTTCCAATACACCGAATTTGTCACACTATTAGAATTTATGCCTAATACACACGGAATTAATCACTTCGCATTTTTCATACCATTAGAATCGTGTTAAAAATGTTCTTCCAATGCTCACAAAAATTACAATTCCTCCGAATTTTGCACACTATTAAACTCTTGTCGTCAATAATATATCCAATACTTATCCGATGGTAATTTAACAGTTTCCGGTCTTAAATTTTGAAAACATCACTTTTTGACACGCTTATAAATACATTTTCATCTTGAACCTTAAACCACATCATTTCCTGTTGCTGAATATTATTTTAGGGGTCCGTTATCAGCAAATCCTCTAAGATTTTTCGAGGTTCATGATCTCTGTTTTCATACTTTTCTTGCGTACTTCCCAAAACAATTTATTAAATTGACAGCCCAACTTTTTTGTCACCTTTTTTTTTTATTGCAGATCTTGATATGGAATATTTTTAAAGCAGGTTCCATATAACACCAACAATCTTTTCATCTGTTTTAGCACTACTAGAAGTATTGTCCGAATGAAACTCCATAAGATTCCAACACTCTTCCTCAACTAATCATCATCTTATATGTAATGATAGATTTCCAACCTTTTATCAAAATTCTGTAGTTTTCTTCTGCTTTCAGGTCAAACGTATTCAAAACACTATCTGAACATCTCTAAATTTACTTTGGATTTAAAACTATTCTTCATCTGATTTCATGACTGTTCTGAACAATGGAAAGGTTTGAAATGACATTAGTACCATGTAGTTTCATGCTCACTAGTCCATGAATAAAAAGGGTGTTCGATTAGGCTATTGTATTGTGTCACTTTTGGATATCTAAATGGGCTAGATTCCATTGTATTACAGCAAAGTTGGATATGTGAATGGGTAAATGTTTCTTTGGGGTCCAAAGTGGGGAAGTTTTTTTAAGTAAGATAAATAACTCAGTAGTGTTGAATAGTTTAGATAAAACATCCCCTCCTAAGGCCTTCGGCCCACGGAGTGAATGTTTTCTCTAAACTTTTCAACACCGTCTCGTTATTTATCCATTACATAGCCAATGAACCATCGATCAACAGTCATTGCCAGGGAAAATTAACAAAGGATGCATTTTGTTTTAATTCAAATTCTGGAGGAAAAAAAACTTGCCTGTTGATAAACAAATATATATTTAAAAACCGATTGTAAAACACCACCCACTTCACAAGATACAAACCATTAAAATTCAGAAAAAAAAAACCAAGAAGCTCAGAAAATATCGCCTAGGGCCAATTTTTACTGTAATCTAATTAGTTAATCTCTTACGTTTGCCGTAAAAATACTGACAGTATCCGAAATTCGATTAAATATTGTCGTCATTGTGTAAACAATGCAAACCAAATGCTCCTCCAAAGAATTATACCCCTTGCCAAAAAACCAATAAACTACTAAAGAACACCATTTAATATATACATCACAAGTTCTTTCCATAGTTTTCTATTTGTGTTGTACAGGGTATTTGAACATACTGTTCATGTCCAATTTGGATATCTATATTTTTCTACAATAATAAAATATCTATAAAACAACAACTGCATTTAGTAGTATGATATATCTATCATAATACAAAAACAATATACATGTACCATAACGCCATAATTTTTGATTACATCATGAAAAGTCAGTCATCTTCTTTTAAATTGGTGGTGAAAGGAATCTCTATATTAATATTTTAAAACTGTTCTATGAAAACAGAAATTCTCCCAATCCAAATGAATAGGATTTTGAAAAAAAAGTACTCAAATGAGAAGAATTTTCTAGGAAACAGATTTTTCGAATGGTGAATTTTTTTTTAACTAATACCGGACTTCAGAGACAAAACTAGGCTGTGATTAAGAAATACGCCAGTCATTTGGAATAATGAAATATATGGAGAAAACGACCAGTATTCAAGCTCAAAAGTCCATTAAACAATACAAGATAGGAGCAAAGCAAAGACGGACCTCCAAAACATCAGAGGTGGGATCAGGTGCCATGGAAGAGTGAGCTGACAAGGTCATTGTATCGACCATAGAACTTACGAAATGATGACTTTAAACGAGACTGCTGATATTCTTGTTTCATCAACTTGTTTGTAAATAACTTACCTCGTTTTAGAAATTGTACATACATAGAGCATGTTCTTGCATATCGAATCAACTGAGAGATATAAACCCCGTATGCAGGTAAGGGAAGTTGACGATTGAAAAGTTAAAGTCATCAGGTTTATCATAAAGCTTGGTTGTTAGATTACCATTACCGTCTTTTTCAAGTAAAATATCCAAATATGAAACAGATTTGTCAGACTCTGTGGTATCTTTTATCTCAGGATCACCAGGATATATCGTATCGACATAAGAATGGAAATAACCATTGTTAATTGACAATGCGTCGTCGATGTATCTAAATGTCGAGTTGAAGGCCACAGCAAGTGTTTTCTTCATCATAAAATGACGTTAAATCGAGAACTGTCTATGAGGTCCGTTTTTGAAATTGCTTGTTTTAAGAATATATATAAATGCTCAAACTTTATTTAGATTGTTTTTTTTTTGGATAAAATTGCATGGATATTTTGTGAACATTTTTGCAAGAACATATCTTTGATAAATTCTTAAAAACATTTTTGGAAACCTCAACGTCAGGACATGTATGCCGAAACAGCATGTATATTTCACCATTTGTATTTTTTTTTATTTGTATTCTTTGATTGTCAATTTGTCAATTTGCATATTTTCTCTGGGAATTTTTATAATTTTCGATTTGTATTCTGAAATTTTCGATTTTTGCCAATTATTTTTCCTTCTGTATTCTGTTCTGTATAATTTCCAACTGCATTGTAAAATACACGATCTGTATTGTTCCAATTTGTATGTAAATATCAATTTATTTGCATTCTATGATTAGTTCAAATGTGACATAGAAAATAAAATATCCCATATCATTGATAAATTTTTCTATCTACACTACGTATAGAATGGAAGAATATTAATCCTTGCTACAAAAATATTCTTGCAACTTTTAGATATGAACACAGATAATTTACCAGCCTTTCCTCTATAGCATGCAAAGGGCAAGTAGTCCAAATCCCAACATTTATATTCTATTTCCATTCTATATTGACTGTTCCAAAAAAGTTTTTTTTAGCATATCCAATTTTACCTGCTATATTCCCGGTTATTTAATGCTATTAAAACATAAATATCATATATACATGTGCATGTATTTACACGTATAGTAATTATTTAAAAAAAAATATTTTTAATTAGTTCTTTTCGAACTTTAATCATGATAATTTAAACTTCAAATCGATACTATCATACATTGAACAAAGGTATTACTATTATATTATAGTATATTGATCACGAACTTTTCATTTCTGTTAGCCACACGGAGCATTAAAAATAACCGATAATTCATTAGAAATTCCATAACCATAACACACTCATAAAAAGCTTGAGTAACAAGAATTTTTCACTAAAATTTATAATACAACATTCTACGAAAATATATTTTTGGTTAAATTAACTATTTCTTATTATTATTATTACGATGGCAACAAAATAATTGATTTTTTAAACTTGACTGGATTAAACTTTTTTTTATACAAAAAGAGAAAATAAAATGTCAGACATTAAAAAAATCTAAAGAAATAAAACATGCATTCGATAAGAAGCAGAGAAAATTCTAATAAGTGTTTCAGGATCAGAGAAATTTATACTGATTTAATTACTGATATTTGAACTAAATCAAATTTAGAAAAGGGACATCAGTTCGAATTTCTGTTTACTCTGAGTTTTAACATTGTTAAGGTAAGTTAATCTTTACTCAGGCATTGACCGTTTACCAGAGATTTTGAGGCACACAATAGGGTTAATTTGGTTTACAATTAACCTGTATTAAAGTTTAGACCGTCAAAGTTTCAATATCCTTTGCTTCGAAGTAAAGTTTGTTCATGTCTTATTTATCCAACAGATTAATAGGATCTGCAGTTAAGAATCAAAGATTATAGAAATGGACTCGAAACGTATGAAGGTATTTGCGTTGTTTCTGATGTCCATTACAATTATTTTTTGGCTTGCAGCCATTGCAACGCCAGGCTGGATTATCACGTCACCAAAACCATTAAAAGCACCGTCACTTCACTTGGTAAGAAATAGTTATGTTAAATTAAAGTCCGTATAGAATTGATGGTACACTATTTTTTTATTCTGGTATTTGGAAGAAAATACATTACAGTATAGCATGTACATGTATTTAGAAAATACGCCGTTTATAAAATAAACTTTATCACCAACATTTTAATTCAATAAAACTTTACTAGAATGGCTAAACTGAGAGAAAGCAAAATTCCCCTGAATTAAAAGAAGCAATTTCCTTAACACATTGTCTTGGTAAATGATGCATAAAATGTAAAAAATGTTATATTTTTTCCAAGAAATCAAACTAATTGAAATCTTTGTCGAATTTTAAAACATCCTACGAATGGCTTAAAAAATATTTATAACGCTATTTTTGTGTTTTTTCTAGGAATCCTTTATGCCAGCATTGACCCCATACACAAGAAATTCTTCTGAAAAAGTGAGAACATTAATATTTTCTATGGGAAAATAACCTCTGTTTTAGCCAGGAATCGCTCACAAATTAAATTGATAAAAATCCAATTTTCAACATTCAAAAATTTATTTATTCATGAGCATTGTCATTTTCTAACGAACATTTATTTTTATATCAAGTATCTGCAAGGCTATGATGTCGACACTGGAAAAGAGAACATCCCTGAAGTACAAATGGTTGGTACATGTATTATATATATTAATTTTCCCATTATATATGTATGGTTGTCAACTTAATTTTTTTCTGGCATTCGGAAGAAAATGCAATACAGGATACATTTATAGAAAAAAAGCTATTTATATAATAGTCCTTATAACCAACATTGCAATTCAATCTAATACTCTGTTCACACGCAGAGTTTAATTCGAATTAAACGTAAGTTACTGCGAATTAAATTTGATCCACATTCACACGGAGAATTTAATGCGAATTAGTTTGATTCGAATTAGTTTACTGCGCATTAAATTACTTCGCAATAGCTCCATGTAAACGCTAAGCTAAGATAATTCGAATTAAATTTTGACGCATGCGTAAGGGCAGAATTAAGTCACAGGCCACATGTCGATGGTCAAATATAGGTACTTGTGCTATTTTTGAGCGGAAAACAAAGGAAAATTATGTTAATCACTAAAAAGTGCAAAGACACCATGACATTATGTCAAAATTGTACATCTGCTCTGCATAATATGACGTGATTTGAAAATGACCTCATAATAGCCTTACTGAAAAGCCTTGTTATAGAAATAAAATTATAATTCGCATTAATTTACCTCGCATTAGCTGTCGTGTGAACACAATTTAATTCGCATTAGTTTAATTCGCATCATTTTAATTCGGATTAATTTACTGCGAATTAAACTCTCGGTGTGAACAGAGCATTAACTTTACTAGAAAGCCTAAACTGACAGAAAGTAAGAATCCTCTTGAATGAGAGGAAATAATTTCCTGAATACACGGTCTTGGTAAATAGTAAATGATTTGTAAAAAAAAAATGTCGTTAGATCTTTTCAAGAAACTAAAAATAATTGAAATCTTTGTTGCATTAAAAATTATAGCGTGATTTTTTCTTCTTTTCCAGAAATCCTTTAGTCCATCATTTACCTCATACACAAGAAGTTCTTCCGAGGAAGTGAGAACTTTGTTATTTTCTTCGCGAAAATTACTTTTGTTTTAGTCAGGAATCCCTTACAAATTGATAAAAATTCAATTTTCAATTTTCAAAAATCTATTTATTCATAAACATTGAGTCACTTCTAAAGAACATTTGTTTTTTATATCAAGTATCTGCAGGATTATGATGACGACACTGGAAAAGAGAATATCGCTGAAATACAAATGGTTTGTATATATATTAGATATCGTAATTTGTTTACATTGCATATGTTTATTTTGTATGCGTTTGGTTTCTGCCTTTGTTTTTAGCTCATCTGAGCCGAGGATTAAGTGAGCTTTTGAATCTGATCAAAATCTGTCCAAAGTCCGTCTGTCTGTCTATCTGTCCTCTGTATGTCATGTGAGGTGTGTTGTCTGTAAACTTTTCACATTTTCAGCTTCTTCTCCAGAATCACTGAACCGATTTCAACCAAACGTGCTACAAAGCACCGTTGGTTAAAGGGAATGTAAATTTCGCGGGTATGTTAAGGATACACCCAGAGATATCCTACTTGCCTTTACAATATGACGTGATAGTAAGCTGTATGACGTGAACTTTAGAAGTAATGATTTCTTAATATCTATATTTAAAGTTTAATTTCAGGTCCAAGAAATGAATGAAATCATTCAAAACATAATATAAACTAAATCTTGTCGTTTTGAGGTGGTATAAATAGCACGGGGGTTAAATACCAAACCCATGACGTCATAACTATTGATCAAATATTTGCCGAGTGAAATTAAAGGTGACGAGAATTCATGTAAACAAATATATGAAATTGGAGTTTTAAGGCATATACCGTGAATGTTATGTGTGATTCATAAGGAATTAAAGATTAAGAATCAGGTACGATGATAAATTCTTATCATGTTTTCTTATAATGAACACAGGCAGTGCTTTGAAATCCTGATCAACCTTTCCTCTGTCGTTCTATAACAACAAAGATGCAAAAGTTCAACACTACACCGCATACTTTGAGACATATTTTTGTTTGTATCGCAAGCTTGTATTCTGTAGTACTTGGAAAGTGCTGCTATAATCGTGTGCTTAAAATAAATTGATAACTTGATCGTATGTACAAAATGTAAAAATTTTGGAAAGGTTTCATGCGAAACTTTAAAAATTTTTTTCTGTGTCGGGAGAGTAGGATTCTAGCAGCACTTTTCATGGCCCAGTGATGTTTTTACATAATTATCTTCACTAAAAGAAATAAATTATCTCCGGGGTAGTGTTGAACTTTTCACTTAGGCAATTTTTCTATTTATAGACATCACGTGATGAAGTCGTAGTGGAGTGCTTCTTTTAGCCTAAGACTCAATTGCGTCTATACAATGGATAATAATAGAAAATGTTTTATCTATGGCTTTTCCGATTTATCAATGTTACATTTTACGGGAAAAAGTCTAAATTCGCCGAAATATGATCTGGGTACTGCCTTAACATATCTGTGTTGTTAACAGGAAGTGTCATGCCTCCTTTCAAGGGGAGATAATTAAAAATTCGTGAAAACTTTCTTGTACATGTATCATTTAAAATCTCCTAAGGAACCAATGAGCCAAAAAAATGAAACTAAGCTTTATTACATACTGTAAATTTAAGTCTTCATTTCATGACCCCTGTCAATTGAATAACTGGACTTAAATTCCTTATATAAAAAGTACGAATGTTGATAATAAAAGTGTATCTTTCAGATATAATGGGTCATTGCAACATGTTTCTCACATGTTCCAAGAAATACATAAAAAATGGAACAAAGACTCACTCATATGAAAAATTGTTTAACTGTATTAGATAGTAATATAATATCATTTTTGCCTTCTTTGGTATTAGCATGCAATTTCATAGAAAAATAATTTCAATACTTGTAAGATTGTTCCAAATTGTGAAGATATTACCAAAAAGAAATTAATGTTAACTGAAATATTCAAGAAAGTTTTGATAAATTTAAGATTTAATTTTTCACTTTTTTTTATTTGACTAACCATAGGTAATTTCTCGGATTATTCACCGGTGTTCTTTACCAAGTTCTTCTGAATGCTAGCCTAAAAGCAAAGTTGCAAGAAAATAAGAAAAATGATTGTGTCGTTAATTATTTTGATTTACAATAATATTATATTAATATTTCATGAAATACAGACACAGATATCCGTCCAGATGAGCATTTTCTACTTCCTCATATGTAACAGAGGTCAATGTCTTCCGGTTCCGTATGACACCAGCGGTGTACAAGTCACAGAGGGAATGACCAGTATTCGTAAGCTGTTTGTGTATTTCAAACAGTACCAGATTTGAGGTGGATGTCCACTAATATTTGAAGAAAAAAAATGATCTTTATAATAAGTGAAATTAATTTTTAAGAAACTTGATGAGGTATTAAATAACATTTTCTTTTTTCAGCGTCGTTTGTTGAAATTCAGATCGAGGGCGTATTTGTTCTTGTGTTATTGATAATGGCCTATATTCTTCTTCTACTGAACATGAAATCTTCCTGTAACATTCTGGTCGGAGGAATTGCAATGATTTTGTCTGGTAAGATACTCAAAACATAGCTTTGTTACCCCCCCCCCCCCCCGAAAAAAAAAGAAAATAATAATTCATTGAAACACAGACCTGTGGGTATGATTTTTAATAACATATAACCGTGATATTTTATTTTCCATAATAATGTGTTATAAGACAAATCTGAGGGATAGGTGAAAAATACAACTTCCTTATTACCAAGTGATATTTCCTTATGTCTGATTTCTTATTATTGTGTTTAACTGTTTTTAGATTATTGTTTGATATACATAGATATATACCTTTTTGGGGGTGAAGAAAATAATCAAGTTGATTAACAAATACGTACTTTACTTTTTTTAAAATTTCTTTCAGGTATATTTTCATTTATTTTGATCATTCGAATGACTGTGCCAAACATTAAAATGACGGATCTTGCCGATGCCATGAATATGGAAGTCAAAACACCTTATTCAATCATTTTGGCATGGATCAGTTTCCTGCTTAGCTTTGCAACTTCTTTCTTAATTGGAGTTGTTTACTCAAAACAACGGAAAGAATCTGTAGACAGCCAGACTCTGGATTTGATTTCGACAACCTCTTCAAACGACTTCTCCATCCTTAAAGAGATTTAAAAATAAGTAATAATGTCCATCGTTGAAAAACCAGTTGCTGTAATGATCTTCTAAGTCACTCTGAGATTTGCTATCTTATAAGAAAACATATGAGTTTGATATATACATTGAACCAAATAGAAATGTCACAAAATTGCTGTAGAATCCTTCATAATTGGAAGTTATCCAAAAAAAAAAAAAAAAAAAAAAAAAAAAAAAATTATACACTTTTACCTCTATCATTTTGATTGTGCCTAAAATTCATTCAAATATATACATAACAGTTCTTTTTAAATTTATTTACACATAACATTAGGTTTTGTCTATCGCCATGCTGAATTTTGGATGTCTTTTTGACAGAATTATTTCGTCTCATTTTTAGTTCATCCACAAATCTATTTCATCTCTCATTTCATCGCACACATCATATTCAATGTACACTGCCAACATGTGATAGCTACAGCATTTGCTTTGAGTTTATTTTTTAAAATTATTTAAACAGTTTGACAGTTAATTTCCATATTCATTTGCTTTGCGGAATTCTTCTTATGTAGCGTCAGTTTTAAGAGTATTTGTTTGTTTGTTTTTTAACGTCCCTCTCGAGAATTTTTCACTCCAGCACTTGCCGGTGGAGATTCTGCAAATTTAGACTTTAATTCGGCACTAAGGTCATTAAGCAGTGAGAGATCTTTTTCCTTTCAGCACTTACTGCGACATGGGACCTAAAGTTATTTAAAAGCATGAAAATTAAAAAAGCAAGTAGGAGATTGAATAGATTTGTGGATGAACCAAGAAAAAAATGAGTTACTAAAAGTAACTTCAAAAAGACATCAGTAATGTTCTTGTCGCATTGTGATAGACGAAACTTAACCTTGTGTTTATGGAAATATTTTAAAAAGAACTTTTAATTTATATCTGATTAAACATTATAATGCATAATGCCGATTCCATGAATATGGAAGTCAAAACACCTTATTCAATTAACTTTTCCTGCATCAGTTCTCTGTTTGGCTTCGTAACTTCGTCATTAATTTTATTTTGTAATTAAAATTACGGAAACAATCTACAGACAGTCAGACACTGGATTTGATTTCGACAACCTCCTCAGACAACTTCTCTATTCTTAAAGAAATTAATGCCCAATGTTGAAAACAGTTGGAGTATATCATGTGTGAAAAAACTTATCTGACTCTCATCTGTATGATATGTTTTTCCGTTACGCTATCATGACAATGAGCACACGGCGGGTGTGACCAGTCGACAGGGGACGCTTACTCCTTCATGGCATCTAATCCAATCTCTAATGTCTTTTAGAGGTCCGTGTTTGCTCTGCTCCAGATTTGTATTGTTTCAATGGACTTTTGAGCTTGATAGCTGTTCGTTATCTCCATACTTCATAGTTCAAAATTATATATATATATATATATATATATATATATATATATATATATATATATATATATATATATATATATATATATATATATATATATATATATATATATATATATATATATATATATCTCAACATGATCAAAGCCTTCGGCGATGTAATGAAGAAATTATTTCATTAATATAATTATACACAAACTGCAGGTCGATTTGCTATGGAAATTAAGCATCCCTAGATGTACCAATTGATCCTCTAAGTCATTTCGAGAATTGCTGTTTCACAGGAAAACATTTAAGTTTTAATGTATTTTTCATAAATCTTTCTTGTGATATGTAGTATCTTACAAATTAGATTTGACGACAGGGGCAATGATAGAATTGTGATTTGCTTCAAAATGTTTTTTTTGTTGAAATATGTGTGGAACATGGTTTCAATGATATGTATAAAATGATAAACGTCTTCATATGATAACCCGATGGTTCACTTTTCATAGTTCTCTTTATCCTAATGAACACAAAAGAAAACTGTGTGCTCTATATTTTTTTTTTGCTATTTTTTTCATATATTTTAAAGAATATGTTCTAGCATATGCGAGATGTCTTTTATTGTGTGCTTTATACCTTTTGTTTACCATAAATGGTCCTTTTACCTTTTCAGTTTGATACTCAGAAGGGCATATGAAATGCATCCCTTTTAACAGTTATCTTCAGATTTTGTTATTATGGGGGCATATGTCTATCCCTCATAGAACATGGGGAAAATTATTATTATTATTATTTTTTATTATAATTGAATTGTAATAGATGATACATTATCTTGTCCTATAAGTCTCATGAACAGATGGGGTTTTGTTGCATTATGGGACATATGTTTATTCCCATATTGTTTAATGTTTGATGTGTGTTGCCATTTTTCTTCATGGGTCTGATCTTTCCCTAGTGCGGTCAAGTCAGTGGCGTTTTCAGACCCATTTTCATGATTTTTCTGTTAAGTCTAAGTTGTAATTACTGGAAATTTGGATTATCTCCCTTTACAAAATTAGTTTATTTCTCATATTTATATTTTGTGTCAGCTAAAATTATATGCCATTGTTAATAATACTTTTGAGAATTTCAAGCAAATTATTAAACGTCACAAAGGTGGCAACACACGACAGACTGTTTTACAGACTTTTTATTCATTGAAGGAGGATAAGATATGGTGCTCTAGTGATGAGAGGATTATGGAAAGAAATAAGCAATTTAATGGGCAATTGGGCTATCAAAATACTTATTGCATTAATATAAATAAATTTAAGTTTACTTAAAATTTTTTATTGTAATCAATAAGTGTCCTCCTTGAATGTTCAAGTCTGATATATTGTATCGTGATGTATTATAATGGTTATTTTGTTTCATGTCTTAGGAGAGGCAGAGATTGACCAATCAAAATCAAACATTTAACATTTCGGCCACGCGGTGCGTCACTCTGCCTCTTCTCCCACCTACAGCCTTGGAGGACGGACGTTTTTTCAAGTTTGTTATTTACCTCCTTCCACCCCGCCTCCGCCAAAATTTTGGTTGTAATTTTATATTTTAAGCGTTTTCAGACCCATTTTCATGATTTTTCTGTTAAGTCTAAGTTGTAATTACTGGAAATTTGGATTATCTCCCTTTACAAAATTAGTTTATTTCTCATATTTATATTTTGTGTCAGCTAAAATTATATGCCATTGTTAATAATACTTTTGAGAATTTCAAGCAAATTATTAAACGTCACAAAGGTGGCAACACACGACAGACTGTTTTACAGACTTTTTATTCATTGAAGGAGGATAAGATATGGTGCTCTAGTGATGAGAGGATTATGGAAAGAAATAAGCAATTTAATGGGCAATTGGGCTATCAAAATACTTATTGCATTAATATAAATGGTCCTTTTACCTTTTCAGTTTGATATTGTTTTATTGCATTACCGAAAGGGATGTTTAAGGGATTCACTGAAATAAAACAGTATGAGATTATTTATTTTTGTTGTGCTTTACCACAGGTGTATCTTTAGCTACTTTATAGTAAACCATTGACTATTATACTAAAAGGTCATTTGCGTAAAGATAACATTAATAAATTGTTTATTTGTAAGCAATTTGTAAAAAAAAAAAAAATACTAGTACCAGATTACCATTCAATAAAAAATGCCTTTAGGAGAATGTATATTTAATTCAAAGATAAGAATGTGTATTTAGTTCAAAGATACTTTATTTTGTGAAGATAATTTTCCAGTTTTTGAGGAGATGAGGTGGTTCAGGAAAGATTTGAGTGAAGTACTATCAAATTTTGAAAAAAATGAAAACGTACCTCAAATTTGAATGCATGTATCAGGTGTATAAAAAATTGAGATGATATAAGTACGCACTTACAGGGTAGTTATGCATTTCAGAATTTGTTATCACTATCATTCATTGGATATGGAAAAGAAATTCGAAAGTGCAACAAAAAATAACACTTCCGAATTTCCTTAAGAATATGGGATTCATGTTTTTTTTTTTTTTTTTTTTTTTTTTTTTTTTTTTTTTTTAAATTCATGTTTTAAAGTATAGATAGCATGAAAGAATGAACCAACATATCTTGCTTTTTGATTAGCACAGACACAGTTTTTATTCTGTAAGGTAATTGGAGACATTTGCACGGGCTCCTTGGGCTGTTGTAGACCTGGTAAAATAAATACAATAACTATTTTAAACAACTTTACGCTCTGATTTCGGCTCAATATGCAATTAATATCTGTCTTATTACTGTCTTTTATTTTACTTTTATTCAGAAGACCTTGACATTTGACCTTTGACCTTTTAGACACAATAAATCCTTTAGTAAGCTAAGATTTCTATAATGTATATTCTTTATATACATCAACATTCTTTACTCCCCCCCCCCTTTTTTTTCCCCTGCGCAATGGCAACGTAGATTTTTTCTCTGAACTCTAAACCAGACATCTAATTACGCGATGAAATCAAGAGAACTCTAAAAGTACTGTTTTTCAGGCCCCTGAAACTCCGTTAAGGGGTCAAAAAGTGACCCCACGGACCATAATTTTTAAAATGTACGCTTCGTGCTTAACTCAAATCCGAAAACTGTTTACAGATTGGTTGGCAAATAAAAAAAGTTACAGGGAAAACACCGTTTTTTTGTACTGGCCCCTAAAAATCCCTTATTTTGTGGAATTTTGTTTTCATCACCTAATCACCTAAAGACAGTGTAAAATTAAGTATTCTACTTAAATATGACAAGAATTGCTTGCTTCCTTTCTGAAATAATGGAACATGCGTGATTTCAATTTAACATAGAAACTCTCATAGACAATTTTTGGTGACTCATAAAACCGAAAGTTCTGCTTGGATTGACTTGAAACTAACCGTACATGTTCTTTTAATCACTCTTAACAATATGTAGTCTTCAAAATATTTTTCCTACATGGTTTTTAAATTTTAAAATTTCCATCCCCCCTTTTTCTTAACTTTGGAGTCTTAGAACACAAAAATGTATCATAGATACAATAACGCTGTCGCTAACTTTTTTGTAGGATTTACTTTGAAGAATCCATTCTTAAAGTCTTATTCCGAAATTCTTCAAAATCCTTAATGAACAAGATGACAAAATTTCAATTTGTGTATCATATCTTAGAACCAGGTCAATATCTTGGAAAACGTCTGCTTAAATTTTAAAGCAGAAAAATTCTCTTGTGCCACATACATCTGTTTTTCAATATAAAGTCCATCTTTTCAATTTCGATCAAACTAGCATTATAATCTACACATGGTATTTATGTCCTCCAGTTGGTTCCATATGCATGACCATATTCTGCTTACGATCAGTTTGTAAACCGAATCAGTGTACTGACGAATATGCAGAGGTTACGAGGATATGAATATTCTCGTTGTCAACAGTTGGCACATTTTATGGTTGACACAATGATCTAGTTTGCAAAACATGACTGTACAACCTGTCGTTAGGTCAAATGTTGATTGACGTTTTTAAAGAAAACGTTGCTACCTATTTTTTATTGACCTTGGTGAGTCACAGCCGTGATTCAAACACACGACCTTCCGAACACGGAGCGAGCGCTCAACCGACTGAGCTACCGTGACGGTTTGTACAGATCGAAAGCTTATGTTCTTTTATACTTGGAAAGTGCTGCTAGATTCGCGATGTAAACATGGTTTGAAGAGATATTTCTAATTATATGTATAAAATGCAAAACATCGCGTAAGGTTTTGTGTCAATGTATGGAATAATTATTTTCCCCGCCGGACAGTGGGATTCAAGCACCACTTTTTAGGCATAAGATATAATTTTCAATTTTATTCTTTTACTTAAAAAAATTTTTAAACCCTGGGGTAGTGTTGTTCTGTTAACCTTTTTATTAAGGAATATTTTTCTATCAATAGCAGTCACGTGATGACGTCGGAGTGGTACACTTCTTGGCCTCAGACACTCTGTTGTCTTTTTGCAATAATTGTCCAAGAGAAACTTTTTAAGTAGTTAATGAACTAACTTACCAAAATTTATTTTTTTTTTGGCACAATGTTGGGAAATGAAATTTTCGTAGTTTTGCCCAATACTATAAGGCTGGAATGTCATATGCATTTAGGAACAGCATTTAAAGAGTGTTAAGTATCGGTGGTCGTAGCACGGCAATTTCTTGACTTTCAAAATTATAATTGCCATCTTTGTTTTCTTTATTACAAGGCTATATAGAAATATAATGTGACAAAAATTACATCCATAGAAACTGCACGATCTAGAGTACTCGTGTATAAAGAAATAATACTTTGACATAATAAATAACAAAAATATGACGGTATATGATCAAACACTATTAGATATTGTCAAAAACGGCGACGTCAGGCGATAATGCGGCGAACTGATTACATGTATCACTCATTACTGTGTGGGTATGACTCCTGTTCATACGGGAAAAGAGCTGGGAACGAGGGATCGACAAAGTACATGCATCGAAAACTGTCTTATATCTGGTAAAAGAGGTTCAAAGATGGATAGACTGGTTATCCGATGGAAGAAGCGTTTGGTAGACCAACAAAAATGACGGCAAACTGAAAAGTCTAGAGCTGGACGCCATACGTGGAGACCGCCGTTAACTATGCGAGCAATTAAGTTTATGATCGGGGTTTGAAAATTGTCTATCAAAAGAATTAATTCCTTGATTTATTCTTAACTGTAGTACGTGTGAAATGGATAACTCGGTAACTAAAAGAAAATCAAATGTAGTATAGAATTTCTGCTTCGAAGGAATTTTTAAAGATACACGATTCCTGAACAAATTCAAAAACTCCACGAGCTACGTTTTGACGTCGTCGGTGTTGCGCCGGGAGCTATTTTGAATGATTCGTTTATCAGAGAGAAAGATGTTATTTATAGAGATATTTTATTGAAATTTCTGTGAATTATGTAAAAAATGTTGTTTATGGTGCATGCCAATTATAAACTTTATAATATTAGTGAAACGAAAAATATTGAAAAAGTTCGAGTTTTTCTGGGAAAACCCTCGTATAAGAATAGTTTACCTTCTATCGCTGGCTTTGATAAATTCACAAAAATAAATTTCTTGAAGAAGTCTAAATTTCCTGTGAAATGACTTGAATGCTTCCTTAATATACCCGCAATGGTCATAGATAAATTTTCCCCTTGTATGCAATTTGTTTTTACTTCGTTATATATTTATAAGACACAAAAGTGAAATGACTGCCGGAGGCTGCCATGTTGAAAGTTACAATTATCGCACTTGATAAATATTTCCCACAATCCTCACTTTTATGTTGACTTCCAGGCATAATGACTCCAAGTGTAACACTATCAGGTCAGGATGAAGTGGTGAACATGTGTCAGTTAAGTGCAATTTCATTGTGAATGTGAATGTAGTGAAGGAAATAAAACTCCACATAAAAAAGATTCTAGTGACTCAGAATTGAGGAAAGTTAAAGAAGGAATTAACAATGAGATGCATTAAAAAAAACTGGGCATTAAAGACTAATTAGCAAAGATTGTATTTTTATGCTCCCGTAATCGAAGATTATGGGGCACATAGGTTTTGCCCTGTCCGTCAGTTTGTCGGTCTGTTTGTCTGTCTGTTGTCCGCAAAAACTTTAACATTGGCCATAACTTTTGATTGGTTGGAGGTATGGCTTTCATATTCCACATGCGTATTCCTTCTGACAATTCCTTTCTTTGGGTACCATCATATTTGACCTTTTGACCTTTACCTGCGAGTTTGACCCACTTTTGCAAATTTTTACCCAACTTTAACCTTGGCCATAGCTTTTGAACAGTTGATGCTAGGCCAGCGCCTTCATACTTCACATGTGTAATCCTTGAGACAAGACTGTTCTTTTGATGCCAAAAACCTTGACCCTTTAACCTTGACCTATGAGTTTGACTTACTTTTGAAAAACTTTAACATGTGCAAAAACTTTAAAACGGTTGGTGCTAGGGCTTTCATACTTCACATATGTAATCCTTGTGACGAAACCTTACTTTGGATTTCAACAACTTTGACCCTTTAACCTTGGAGTTTGACCTACTTTTGAAAAACTTTAACCTCGGCCATAACTTTTGAACGGTTGGTGCAAGGGCTTTCATATTTCACATGTGTATTTCTTGTGAGAGGGCCTATCCTTGGGCAGCATTGATTTTGATCATTTTACCTTGACCTTACTTAAATTGGATGCTGCTAGGGCTTACATATTTCACAGGTATATTCTTCAAGACAAGACCTTAGTTTGTGTACCAATATATTTAATGTGTATTTGAGAAAGTTTAACCTTCGCAATAAGTTGTCATAGGGGGGCATCAGTGTTTTACAAACACATCTTGTCGTACTTGATTTTAATTTCAAATTTTTAAAAGATAAAAGGTATCTGAAATAGATGTTCGACTATTTTTGATGTAATGAATTTTATTACTCTACAACCTTAAACACAATGACTGTATACATCTGGGACTTGAAGTGCCTCCGCTACATCATCAGCGGCTAAGATAAAGATTTCCACATGCTGCTATCAACATGATCAATATCAACTTTAACCGATGTCATCAGCAGCGTAATGTTATAATATGCTACTTTTCTGTAAAATTTTATATAAGAAGTGTAATTTTATACATGCATCCCTCTAATACAAATTGTTAAACCATGAATTTCATACTAATTCGTCAATAGATTGTTTCTTTTTCTCTAGATGAAATCAAAGTGCTAATGGCATGCGTGACTGGTCGATAGGAAATGCATACGTTTCCATGACACCTGATACTAACTCTGATGTTTTAAGTTGTCTATGTTTGCTTTGCTCTCAGTTTGTAATGATTAATTGGATTGTTAATTTTTATTATTTTTCTTTATTTTCACCTTTCATGTATATTTTGTTCTCGTAACATGAATAACTTATTTCAGAATCTATTAAATAATTACCATAATGAACACAACAGGCAGATAAAATAATTGCTTTATATATTTACTATAGTTTAGGTTAATATGAAAAAGGGCAACAATAATGTGTAAGAAGGAAACAACACATGAAATTACAAAGGGAAACATTCTTGTGCATATGAATTGTATTTGGGTTATCAAATCACCAACTCACTGAAGTGCCAATAAGATTCACATTTCCAATCATTATATAAAAAAAATTCAACATGTATGTTTGTCTTTATCAAACACTAAACAAACTTTGAGACCTAAGATTTTGTACAACCTTGTTAATTTTGCAAAGAAAAAAAAAACATGGTTCGTATCAAATTTACAATAAAGCAGAATAAAGGACAATTTTTCTGAAACTAAGTCCAAAGAACCTTTCATTTAATTTAAGTAAAAACATATAAAACAACTTTTCTTTATCAGGTGATGTTTTTGAGCTGCTAACATAATGGGGAAAAAAATCAAAATACCGAAACAGTACTAGAAGACAAATTAATAAAGTTCATTATATCATAAACTTCATTACTGATGTAGATTATTATAGGGTTTTGATACATAAAAAAAATAGAGAAATTTAAAATTAAAAGAACTTAAAAATAAACATTGTTACAAGATATATGAGTCGCTCAGTATCAAATTTATTAATAGTCGAAGAACCTTATAATATTGACCAAACTTAAAAAGGTCCTAGTTAATCTAACATTTCCGGAAGTAAACAAGCGGTAAAGCAGTATAATATTACAAATCCGAGTAGTTTGTTTACATATAAGATTTTAGAATTTTAAAAATATAATGCTTCATGAAGGTGTTACGCACAAGGCATCCATTTTAGATTTCGACTGACAGTGACCCTGTCTAAAAATGATTTTGGTGAAAGTCTGAACTGGTCAGTTAGAACCTTCCCCACCCCGCCTCCTGTTTTGATCCACTTTGCCTCCCCAATGTCAAATACCTGCCGACGCCCCTGGTTGACTTGAACTCATTATTGTACGTGAATTTTGTCAAACTTTAATAATTATTCTGTAAAATATTATATTTATTACTCAGACAATTACTGTTATAAGTATATTTGCAAGCATTTTGTAGAATTAATCACTTTCTTGAAGAACAGTATGGTGTGGAGGCAAATCAGTAACCTGTTGGCCTGATTTTGTATACAAAATTTTACTGAGGATCATGACGAGGCAGCTAAAACCCAGACCGATTCCGGCGAAAATGACGGAGTAAGGATTCCTGACCTTCATATCTAAAAGTTCTGCAACAGGTATGTTGTCCTTAGCCATGCGAAGAATCAGGAACATTTCAAACAAAGCTAAAATAAAATAGTTAATATAATTATTGATTTCACATAATCATTTTTTATTGAAGTATACTTTTCAGAGACAGTAATTTTTGTTCAAAGGAGTGAATAAAATTACGTATGGTGATAGGCCAAGTTCTCGTTGTTTCTGATTTCAGATCTATTTCATAGAATTTTCATTTTCTAATTTTTTCGGAAATTCAAAGATGACAATGCTGTACAGAGGTATCAATAAAATAAGTGTACTGGAATAGCTCTCAGTTAATCAATGCTTAAAACTTTTACATTTTCATAAAAATGAACATCATGGCTATAAGTACAAATATTAATTTTTACCTGCCATCAACATGGCGATTCCTCCAGCTCTAACCCTGACGGCACTACCAAAGCTGAACACAAGAAGATTTAAACTACACAAGCAAGAAATTATTGCTAGGATACCCCACACTTGACTATCAATTAAAAAAGCTGAAAGAAACAAGATTAAACAATTGTTCAAATTAGCCCAGACAGAATATATAGATGTATTTTCAAGTTAAGGAAATCCTTCGCTAGGCATTTAAGCTATAAATGTCTTGAGTTTTTTAGTGAAAACAACTTATCAATTAAGATATATGTAATTTATAATAATTTAATTAAAGTTGCAATGCTTGAATACCCCAGACATCTACTAGAGAGCAAAATAGACATCCTCATCTAGACAAAATTATCGTACAAGAAATGAGTTGAAATTGAGAAACACAAAATTATTCTATGAAAGGATCTCATAAGGGAAACAAAAGTAATAGTCCTTTAAATTTTTGTATACCTCTACCGATAACAATTTAGGTTTCTGATAATTATAAAAGTACTTAAAATTAATAATATACAATGAAAATTTCGGCTTTTGGTCATTATTCACCATGGACATGGGTGCTCTAAGCCTAATTAACTTTCCTAAAATAATCCAAAAAAAATCTTATCAAAGATAAAAATCTTAATCTACAGTATTTTAGTCTTGCGGGACATCCTGACCAAAATATCTCTAAAACATTCGACAAAACCTGGCTTCGTGCTACATTTATTTGTACAAGGGTTGTCCCAAAAAGTCGTAGACAGGGTAAACAATTGAGTTTCTTTTTGCTAACAAAACTTTCCTTTCTTGTCATTGTCAAAAGAAACATTAAATGATTATACTTTTTAAGTTCAATAATAATAATAAGCATATATCTGTACACCGGCGGACGAAAGCAAATGTAATTTTCGTCTCTTTTATCACGTCATGAACATTCCTTTTTAAATACTGGCCCTTCTGCGCAAGAACACGTTGGATTTTTTCAAATACACTGAAAAACACTCTTGATTCGGGAATATATTTCAAGTCTCTACTGTCCTTCTTGCTCTTCATTAGATTCAAATTTAGTCCTGCAAGGTCGACTTACATTGCACAAGGCAGAAAAAACAACTTTAACGTCGGTCGTGATCCAGGAGGACGTTCCCCACCGACTGAATAAAACAACCATTACACTACTTCTATGGCCTTCCTTTTTTTTGGTGCTAAGTCATAAAAATCTCTTATACTAAATATAAACTACTTCTCTGCTAATATTCTAGTGTGTTATGTCACTTCTAAATATATTTTCATCTCTGAGGGGAGGGGTTCAAACCATATTCAAAACAATATTTTATGAAATATCTGTACGCCGGGAAGTTATTTGACGTCACTGATTACGTCATGTGCAGCAACTCGATTCGGAATACGCTTGGAAAATTATGTCACTACTCCTCTGCCTCTGAAGACATTTACTTGAAAATTTGACATGTTACGCATATTTCTTTTCTTATTTAACTGATATTATTTCGTATTTGATATTTTACAAATATTAGAGAAGTAAATGCAATTGTAATAACATACGTTTAAATCATTCCAGATTTTGTTCATGCACCGACAAACCACATCAACTTCTTATAATAAAATTATTATGATAGAATTTTATTTAAGAATTCACTATTTCAAGGGAAAATAAATAAATGCTTGTCATGCAAAATTTGATTAGTATTGCTCGATTGTATAAAAAGTTATTAATATTGTCTACGACTTTTTTGGACAAACCTCGAATATTATATCATTCGGAAGAAAACTTTGCGATAAAGACCCTCAAAACTTTGATACTTTGGACATGAAAACCATGGATTAATTGAAAATGAATTATCTTTGTAATTCCTCTAAATACAAAAAAAATGTATTCTTAGTATTTTGTTCGCCAGAGAATCCTTTCACTTACAATCAGTGTAAAAAATTATCTTTATTCAGTTTATGTGAATTTCATGTTAACTTTTTTTTCTACAACAGACGCACTGAAGGTACTTTAGTTTGTATTCTTTAAGATCAAAGGCACATTTATTTTACAGAACTTACGAAAGCGCTTTTCTGACTCTACTCCATATTTACTGCATAATGCTTCTCCAATAAGTTTCTGACAAGAAACTTGGTCGCAAGTATCATTGTAACACACTGAGCAATACCATATGCTCATTTCTACATCTATGTTTAAATGGGGCTGAAAAAGAACATCAATAGCTATAAATAAACTTACCGCGGTACTTCATTTGGTGTTTGAAAGCAAAACACTCGACTAAAAAGGAGTTATAGATATACACAGATGGACATTGATCAATTTCCTCCTAATTTTTATGGCCTCTTAATTGAAGATTCGAATCAATATGGTTTTTGGTCTGTCCGTCTGTCTTTCTGCAAAAACTGTATCCTTGTCCTTAACATTTCAACAGTTAGTAGGGGTGAAACGGTTCACCGCGGTATTATTCATCGGTTTGTTACACGGTGCAAAATCCCCTATTTTCTGTTCTATCAAGATGTATCGTATCGAAAATGACCGAACCGAGTCAAAATTATACGATACGTATCGTATCGTGAAGGAAGCGTATCGTTTCATCCCTAACAGTTAGAGCTAGGGCTTTCATATTTCACATGTGTATTCTTTGTGACATGCTCTGTCTTTGCGTACCAACAATTTGATTTTTGAGTTTGACTTTCTTTTATAAAAGTTATCAAATTATAACCTTCACCAGAACTTAGTTTCACCTACTTTTGAAAGACTTATAAGCTGGCCAAAGTCTCTGAACGGTTGGTTCTATAGGGCTTTCATATTTCACATGTGTTTTCCTTGTGACATTACTTTTTTCGGTAACCAAGATTTTTCACCTTATAACCTTGACCCAGGAGTTTAACCTGCTTTTGGAAAATTTTAAACATGGCTATAACTTCTGAACATTTGGTACTCGGGCTTTTATATTTCACTTGTGTATTTCTTCTGACAGGACCTATCTTAGGATACCTTTTGACCTTGACGTTCGACTGTCATTTGAAATGGAACTTTAACCTTCGGCATGAGCTGTCATACGGGGGCATCAATGTTTTACAAACATTTCTTGTTCGTCATAGCAAAATGATGTTTCCTTAACTTTTTAAAGAAATAGTAAATAAATTTAAGTCTCCAGTCTTAATTGTCAAAATTTCATTTGTACGTAAACCACTTACATGCGATGTTTAACCGAGGATTAACAATTAAAAACTCAAATCTAATTAGAATGCATTTTGATTTTATGGTTATTTTGGCGAGATGAGAATTATTTGTTTGATTAAAAAACTTGCCAAAAAATGCCAACCTCTTGAGAAAGTTTATGTAGAGTAATATGGTTAATTTTTAAATCACTTTTTCCTTTCCTTTATCGTTGAAATATGTACACAATAATAATGATCAATAAAAATATCGGATGATTATCATAATATTATATTATTCTCTTTTGAGAACTATGGACAGGTTTAAGTCTTGACAACACCCTCGGCATGGCACACACATTGCAATGTTTAATATTTGAAGGTTTGATAAAAAATGATATTAAATAAAAAAAAGTTTTTAGATATTATGTAAGTTTTTAAAATGTTTATCCGCCAAAATATTTCCCTCTCATGTTTGATTTCAAGTATTCCAAAGATTTCCTACTCTAAAATTACATACTATACGGTAATTATTAGTTGTTTGACATTTTTAATCAAGGAAAAAGAACAATTTGGATTCTCCTATGAAAATATGTGTCCATCCTCTACTCACTGCTTTTTGTACTTTAGAAATGAAACAACAACTATTTTTTTTTTTAAATCTGAATCTGTTAAAATGTAATATAAAAAAGTTTCAGAACTTTTATCATTCGATCTTTGAAGATTATATCAAGACATCTCGTCAATTACTCTTACTCTTTCAAAGGGATCACCAAAGTTCCTGATCCATTTCCATAAAGGTCTTGAAACCTGTGAAATTTGAAAAAAAAAAAACATAGCGTCCATTTAGAAGAAATGCAGGGAAATGCAAATCTTTATCAGAAATTGTAACCAGCTGTAATAGATACCAGTTTGCTGTTTTATCATGATTAATCGGTTATCGTCCATTTGTCTGGATAAAAGTTATCTTAGTTTAACCAACTACTCTGGAAAAAAGTCTTGTAATCAAAATGATGCTTAATTTTTAAAAATGAAATATGGAAATAACAAACAGTATTCAATCTCAAAGTCCATTAAAACAATACAAATCAGGAGCAGAGCGAACAAGGACCTCCAAAAACATCAGAGGTGGGATCAGGTGCCATGGAGGAGTGAGCATCCCCTGCGAATCGGTCACATCCGCCGTGTGTTCCTTGTCATTATCGGAAAATAATGGAAAGATCCGTCGACAATTCAGTGTCTAAATAATGGCCTAACAATTAGTATGAAAAATGTCAGTCGGGATATGACTTAATGATAGATTGTATATGCTGATAAGGTCATTGTATCGACCATAGAACCTACGTAATGATGACTTTAAACGAGACTGTTGATATTCTTGTTTCATCAACTTGTTTGTCAATGACCTCCTTAAAATCCTTTTTGTGTTTTTTGGGAAAAAAGAAATGAAGGATATCATCATCATTGAAGATATGCAGGGAAAATTCTTTATAGGTATCCCCTCCTCTTTTTCTCGTATCTTCTCATTCCCTCCCCACCCCATCCAGCACTTTATCCTCAATCTTCTTCAGAATTTCACACCTTTTTCTTACCTTCTGTATTATGAGTGGGTCAATATTTTCCCACGATGCAATAAACCATCCTGGTGTTACCATAGCCACAAGCCATAAGTTGAGTGTAATGAATGCAAAAACTATAGCCAGGACTGCAATGCATTTTCTTGTCAAATACATTGAAGATTGGGAATGTGCTTCACTCATTCACTCAGTGTGAAAAGAAAGGTAAAATAGGAGGCAAAAACATCAGACAACCTTCGAGACTGAACGTAAAGCATATCTAGTAATTGGGAAGTCATGTCCGCTTAATTCAATCATATACACTTTTTCCTTCCGTGTTTTTGTGTATCTATCACAAAACATGGAATTTAAAAAAAAAATATATTACACTACAAAGTATCTCAAATTTTCAAGGAAGTTATCTCAGAGAAGTGCAAAACTAGACACAAAGCACAAATTTTAAGGATTTTATTTTGGTGTATATTGGGTACGATTGTAATTGCAGAGACACGAATAATTATCAATGCTATTAGTGTCTCTTGCAAAACAGTGGATGGACCGCCAAAAACGTACAACAAGCAGGCCCCAACACAACAATCGACCGTCCTCCGAAACAACAGGAAAGCCCAGCAACACAAAAAAGCAACATTCACAACAACATCATCAAATTAAGGTTCAAAGTTCATAATTCACAACGAATGGTTAAAACAATGACCCTGGGAGGTGCAGAGGTCAAGCCCTTGACCTGGGAGGTGCAAAGATTAAGTACTTATTTATATATTTAACTAGGCTGTTTATTTTCACATAACCATCATTGGAATTAAGGTTTAAGGTCCGTATTTCAAATGTCATAATCTCACAACAAATGGTAAAATCCTTGATCCTGCAATGTGCAGAGGTTAAACCCTTGACCTTGGGAGGTGCAAAGGTCAAGTACTTATTTATATATTCAACCGGGAAGCTTTTAATTTTTAAACAGTTACATCACTGTAAAGGATAAAATTACTCACTGCCGCTCGCTTACGCCACAAGGTTCCCACCACAAATATATTGAGGTAGGTAACTCCGCCATCAAATGGATGGGGATAAGTCCGGCATCAACAGCCGTTCCCAAGCCAAGACTTATCAAGATGGATATACTGTTTCCCTGTCTGAAACATTGCAGTCTTACCCGAAATCATTCAAGGTGATGTGATATCCCCAAATTGATAATTAGCATGTGAAGTCCATCTTCATAAAAAAATATTCATTCAAGACAATGGAATAATTTTTTAAAGACACCAAAGTTTAAATTACATATTCCTGAATGCCATGAGACATCTCTTTTTGTATAGAAGTAATGATAAATATTACATTACTAGTCGTTTGACAGGATTTAGTGGTTTGATACTACATGTATTAAAGTTCAATCATCTTATTCCCAATAGCAAAGAAAGATTGACCCATACTATCTAAAATATTGATGCATACAGTTTGAAAATTGCTGACCAAGGTATGACACAACTAAGTGACAGACGGCTCATAGGTTATGCATATTTTTTCAACAGAACAAATTCTTTTTTTTTAATTCCCCAACCTGAAAAAAACATTTACTGATTTAGAGTAACTCACTTTTAAAAAAGAGGCTATACTTAGCATACTCACTCCAATCCGGATTTTAATGATCCTCTTATCAGCCCTACAGACCTGCATTAACAAAATATTTTTCATTCATGTAAATTGTACTGGACATATTGACTAGTGAACAAAAATCTTTAAAAAATCTAGCCTCTGGGTTTCTCGTATTCTCTATGAAAACACAATGTATCTTTGACCCAAAATGACAATTAAAATAAGGAAATTATTTAAAAATTCTGTTGCAAGACTGAAAAGAAATTCAGTCCTAGTATGCATATACAGTATTGTCTAGCTATTTTAAAATCTTTAGATTTAAGTTCCTTGTTGTATAATGTGAATGCAACTGAATTTAAAGTAGCAATATTCATTCATTGTCATGCAAGACCTTGCTGTTTTGTTTGCGTGATAATTGAATGGTATTAAGGTCTACTGATACTTGGACAAGAGAGATAACTCTTCAAAGGATAAATATAAATGAATAACATTCCCTTATAAACTGTGATGTCAAAATGCCATTTTGTCCAATTTTTATCCCACAAGATATGCTAAAAATGTTTGTATTTTACTTATAAATATGTTTCTTTTGGAAAAATCTAAGCATTGGAGCATATTTATAAGAGTGGCTGGGAGGGGGGGGGATATGAACCTTAATCAGTTTGATGCTTAACTGAATGGTATTTACCAAAGGGCAACACATCCATTATTACGTTTTTTACAGAAGCAAGCTGAGAAGAAGGATTTGGAATATATAGTCTACAAATACACTGTAAAATGCATTGCCTTGAAATTAATCCTTTTTAATAAATCTATTTTTCCAAATTACAAAAGTGTGAAACAGATGAAATATACTAAGTGTAGTGCTTTATTTTGATTATTAACGAGCTAAGCTTCAGCAGACGCCTTCGTCGAAACAAGATACCACCAGTTTCTACTAGAGTCTGTACACTTAATCTGTATGAATCTTACTTTCAGATGAAAAATGTTAAATACACTAAATCAATTGATTCTCATAATTACGTATCCTAGCATATAAATGTTATTATTCTTATATATTGTATCTATATTCCTTTCCCAACTTGCTTGTGAGAGTACATAACCAAACCTATCAATGCAACCTCTTAAAAATATTTAAATACGCATGCTAACTACCCATCACAAACTTCTAAAGTTATGCCCATGCTTTCACTAAGTGGTGCAAGCTTTAATCCATTAATTTTTGGAGAGAGAAAAAAAGTATCAGCTATAAATTTTCAGCTAAAACAACATTTCCTGGTATGTAGGGGAAATATATTGATAATGATTACCGGTACTTCCAAATTTAAATACTGGGGTTCTTATCTCCTATGACCCAAACTACTACGTTATAACCAATTTAACCTAGTACTGATGGTGGTACCAATTGAAGTTTATATACAATGAATGTAGGTTACAAGACTGGAAAGTCCTCTGCTGTGAAAATACAGTGTTAGTTAATAACACCCTTTACCGCTATTAATGATTTTGGGAAATATATGTATTACATCAAGAAAGTAGAACCCGTGCAGAAGGTCCAACTCCCCGTCGATTCTCATTCGGAATTCAAAGTCACTTGGAATTACTTGGAAGTATTTGGAAGTATTTGGAATTCCAAGTACTTCCAAGTCGTTTGGAAGAATTTTATTTGGAAGAATCTGAATTTCATTTGGAATCTATTTGGAACCATTTTGAAGTGCAGAGATGAAATTTAGTCTATATATTTAACGAGCAGATGTTATGTTATCAGGTAATCGGGTTCGAGGTCTTCTGTCGGGTTCGACCTCGTGGAATTTGAAATCAGGCGGTTCAAACATAAAGAGTGTTGCTTCATGATCTCATTAAAGGAGGATTGAGCTACTATGAAGTATATGTAATTCAATAGAGATAATTAACACCTTTTAAGTTCATGACTCCTTCAATTGTATCTTCTTTTTATGTCGCACTTCTCTTGGGAAAACAGTTAGACCAATACTGTCAGATTGATCATTGCTGAAACTGTGAAAGGTGTCAATATTTTTGGGAATTACTCGTCATCTCGATACATGTCAGTGCTTGTATCTGATGATAATACGTGTTCGTCTTTTACTACTTATGTAAATACATGAACCCAGAGAATGCCTAGATTACTTCTATTCTTAAAAATTATTGTGACTTGGATTTGAAATTTTCAAAAATTGAAGTGAAATTTTCAATTAAAAACAGTTTTACAGGATAATCTTTTATCAGGAAGGTTTGTCTTTTTCAAATGCAATAAATGATGCCAAAAGAATAGTGTTTTCTATGAGATGTCTATATATATATATATATATATATATATATATATATATATATATATATATATATATATATATATATATATATATATATATATATATATATATTATCAAATAGCTGGCAGTTTGTCATCTTAACAAATAACATGTTTAGATACTGTACAAGTCAATGAAATCTTGCTTTATTTTGTTGAATCACATTTCTTTTAGTTATTCGGAAGTCATTTGGAAGCAACTCGGAAATCATTTGGACATTTCTAGAAAAATCTTAAGTTTAGTCATTCGGAAACAACTTGAAAATAACTTGGAAGTCATTTGGAACCATTTGGAAATTTGTTCCAAAACTCCGAATGGTGATTTGGAAATTCCAAATGAAGAATTCCAAGTGAGATACGACTTATACTAAAGGTATACATTATACTTTCTACTACTATTGACCCAAACCCCATTTTTAGTGTTTATGGAGATCTAGGACTTCCTACTGAGACCTCTTACAGACTTACAGACTAACAGACATATCCTATATTTTAGCCACCTTTATTTAGTAATGGAATGTTCACTCGAACATCTTTCTTTGCCAGGCGATTATTTAAGATCTTTGTTATGAAGAGAGTTTCAATGCATAAATAAAAAATACACTCGTCAGAGGGACAGAACAACCCAAAGAGGAAGAACATACATAATCATGCAACACATTTGTTATATCTTTAATGTAATAGAGGTTTGATGGTTTTGGCAAATGGTTGTTTAATGTAAATCCTTAATATCCAAATAAAAATAAAAATTGAAACTCTCCAGGTGCTCAAAAGATCTATGAAGTATCAGAGTTTTATTTTCCATAATTAGAACGAGAACACATGCTAATGTTGTTCCTTTATCAATATTTAAAAAAAAAAAAAAAACATATTTCGGTAATATCTGATTACATGTGTAACACTTTAATTTTTGTAATGTTTGAAATAAATAAAGAAAATATACAATCATTTCGAATCATTTCAAGAAAGGCATGCACGTAATGCATTGTGCTGTCATATCTAAAAATAGACAGAAATATTTACTCGCATTATTCAAATTCTGTCGTTTAGGATTGCTCGTCTTTATTTATTTCTTTGGGAATTAACTTATCCCATGCATTCATAATGAGAAAGGCCAAACCACAATTGATGTTAGCTCAGAGGGAATGTGTAAAATATTTAAGTCAAAACCAAAATGTATTGCACAATTGTATGAAAGAATAATCACTTAATTCACTGTCCATTTTTAAAG